TGTAGTTCATGTTCTCCATCTCTCTATGTGACTCTACTGAATTACTGATTGATTATGTTGGCTCTTATAATGGTGTGATGAAAGCTCAGGATGGTTATTTTTGAATAATAAAGGAAATTAATATATTTTTTAATGTGTGACATGACAAAATTTGTTAGACTATAGGTCAATTTATAGGTAATACTGTGTGTTATTTATGTAACACAAAATTTGAAAATTTCCCAGCTCTTACATTAGGTATGGTTACAGTCACTTGTGTATATGTATATTGTCCTTAAGCTAACAGATAACATGACTGTCTAAGGCAAGAACACTTCCTGTTTGACTAACATACAATGTCAGTTCTCCTCCATTGTATGATACTATGACCTATTACATATTGATGTATTTTTATAAAGCATGATAATAATAATAATAATAATAATAGAAATAGCAATGAATCTTAGATTAGCACTAATGTATTTTTACTATAGTGTCTACAGTTTTAGTCACTCACTAAAAAACTAACTAAACAAAGACAATGCACTACTTATAATTATTAATTGTTCCTTTACTTGACATAAATCTCATACAATTGAACTGGAGTATCTTCATTGTTCCATACCTCATTCCCACACACCCTCAGTTCAATGTAATCAGTAATGGTAGCATTACCATAATCTCTGAAGAACCATGGAAGACCAGTACCAGTACAACAAGGAGCTTCTACTGAAGGACAGTTATTTCCATCCCACAATGGATCAGTAGTGTATACTTTAGTATTGGAAGGTTCACTGTTTGCTCCTGACTCACAATAGTAGTGCTCTCCTACAAAACTTTGAATTGTATTAGTTGTTCCATTATTGCAAGGACAAACTGAACTTGTATTGATATTTGACTGAAACCCAGCTATATAAGACCAGACATGTTGACGAGGTGACCCACGTGTAATACTGACTCCATCAATATAAGCACTATTAATATTGCCACTGTTGGCTCCATTAGGCCTTCCCTTTTGATATCCAACCACTTTACCACATATTTGACTATAGCTGATACCATTTGTTTGGAATATGTTAGACCTACAACCAGCAGAATCACCCTCTCTCCTACAAACTCTAATGCCTCCAGTCATCAATTCCTGAAGTCCAGAAGGACAGTTCATAGTCGTATCAAGATAAGCTATTCTTCTCCATCCTCCATCTTGTCCACACAGTTCTCCCATATTGCAGTATATATTGCGACTGTTAACATGATAGTAACCAGAAGGACTGTTGGGATGAGCTGCTTTAATATCTTTGCAAGAAACAAGTCTAATGTTAAACAAAAAGGATCCATTCTGTATCTCTAATAATTCCTTGACTATTAGTAGTACATCATTAACAGCAGCAGCAGTTGGTATACTGATATCTTTAATAATTAAGACTAGTGTTCAGTAATTGAAGTAGTTCATCTGTAGACCTGTTGGTATTATTAGCATGTACCATAATCTG